CCTTCTAATGGGTAATGCAGGATTTTGTCCATCAGCAGTAAGAGTACATGGGGGCTGACGCAGAAACGTTAAACGGGCGTAGGATTTCTTGTGTGGAAGTTCAAACAGGTCGACTCGGAGTACTTCAGTGTGCAGGGGTCGTCCTTAGGTTCGCCAAGGATCAGGGCTTCAGTTTTAGGGGAAAATGAAAACTCCGAAATCATATCTCCTAGGCCAGCCCGGGGTGTTAAGTGCAAACTTGAAGCTCTGAGCGCTGACTCTACACCCTGAAACCCGAACTCCAAAGCCCGTAAGTGCTTAAGCATTACGACACTCTCAAAACCTGTGAAAGAACAGCCAGCGAAGCCGAAAAAGAGTCGAAGCAGAGTCTCCGACTGCCTTGCGGCTTTTCTTCTCAGACCTGACACATTTGGGAGTTTCCGAAAAATTGGGGTACCTTATTTGGGGTCCTTATAATTAGGATCCTGCTATTTAGGGTACTATAATAGGGTCCCCTATTATCGGAAACTCCCATTTGGGCCCCAGAAACTTCTAGGGTTTTAGGGTTTAGATGATTTAGGGGCTCAAAGATTCGAAGGCTACTCCCTCAGATTGACTATTCGGGATATTGGAGCTTGGGGTTTAAGGTTTAGGCTTGGGTTATTAGGGCTTAGAGCAACGACGACGCGGATGGGGATCGTGACGGTATGACGACGAGAAGGGTGGCCGTGATGATTGAGACGACGACGATGGAATGCTGCTGATGCTGACACTGACCTGATGAGATCAACGCACGACAAGGCTGAGGAGTAGAAGGGCCAACGATGATGAGGACGGGAATGAGGAGCGGGGAGAATAAGAAGAATGGAGTGGTCCTCTGATTTTCTTTAGTACTGTGCCTTCTACGTGACCATGTTTCGAATGAATTTTGACTGCATCGCGACGACGAGCACTCGCGGTGTTTACGGACGATGTTTGCTAGTTCAGCTCAACCAAACCAACGCACCCAGCATTCAAACTCCAATCTGAGGAGATCATAAGTCCGATCCTACTCAGGTCGGTTTTGGGCTTACTGGACTTTGAAGTAAACAGGGAGAAAACAGTATAGACTTTTATCTCGTAATGGTTCCTTTAAGGAACAGGTACCCAAAAAATATTCGAGTATGGTACTCCAAACCCAGGTTTAGGGTCTACAGTAGGGGTCAAGGGCCAAGGGTCTTAGTTTTTGATTTAGGGCTCAGGGATTTACTATCATTGCAGAGATGAGCTATATACTGATTCAGGCAGGGCATGGGCTTAGGGCGCTTTGGCACCTGTTCTGCTTGTGCTTCTCGTCCTTGGCCCCTCCCTCCAGGTGAGGCATGTCCTGCAAGATATTTTGAAGCATAGGGCTTGAGACAGAGTAAAGAGCTTGAATAAGGAAAGGTGAGGCCCACGGCCTTGCACAGGGGCAAATACGCAACTTACTACGATATCAAGCATGACTGCAACGTCGATGCCTTGCACCTGGAACAGAACGATTATGGTAGGGATATATAAACCCCAAAACACTGGGTCATCGGAGCATGTGGGTAAACGGTTTAAGTATCTCGGTGCAGAGCAACTTGCTTGCGCGGGAGCTTCTGGACACCCATAACAGACTCTCAGCAAAAACGAGATCAGCCACATACGGTTGATGATATAAATCCTGCAGTACCCATTATAAGGAATATGCAATAATTCCCATAGTTTCGGGTCCTTAAGGTAATGCAGAGTTTTTATCATCAACAGCAGAACACGGAAATCCGATGAACTCGACGAACCTACCAGGAGAGGGCCGAGTGCCGGGGGCTGAAACACCTACTTAAAGGATCATGGGACTTAGTAAATGGGGTTACAAATAAGGTACCTTAACCTACCAAAACCCACTTTTTTGTAGGGTCCCTACAAATTCCATATTAAGGCTAATAATAAGAACCTACAAAAAAGTAGCGTTTGGTAGGTTAAGGTAACTATACTTGTAAGCACTTATGAGCCCAGTTAAGGTACTTATAACCTGACTCGCTAAGTCCCATGATCCTCCAAGTAACCGAAAGACTCAAAGCGGGTTTGCGCTCTTAGGGTCTTTGGTGACATAGGACTTAGGGGCAAGGGCCTGGGTATCAAAGTTCCCCTTTGAAGCCTCAGGGTTGAAAGCCTTGGAGCCTTTCTAGACTTTCAGGGCTGTGCGATAAGCCGCAGGGGCTTAAATCCCTACACCACCCTCAAAGGCGATATCTTCCAGCTGGAAGCCTTCTGCACAGAAGCTTATGCTCTCTGGCACTGACAACGATCCGAAGCCCCAGGACCCCACCCCATAAAGCCTGTTCATGAAAACCTTAAACCGAACCATAAGCCATCCCCAAGCATCTAGCCTATCTAAATTCAATACCCGTAACCCGAAGCCAGAAAGTCTGATCCCTAAACGACCCCTAAACCCGTAACATACACACTCTTCAAAACGAAACCATTTCTAAAATCCTGCAGAACCCACCAAGGAACCTGAAAAAAAAAACAACACCATGGATGAATCCTGCGGAAACCCTCAAAGAACCTTACGACCCTTACAGAACCCACCAAGGAACCTTGTATACAAACTCCTAACCCCAGAGCTTTTTGAACCCTAGACCCCTAAACCCCAAACTCTTAACCCTAAACCCTTAAACCCAAAGCTCTTACCCTAAACTCTTAAACCCTAAACTCTTAACCCTCAACCCCAAAGCCCCAAAAGCTCTCAACCCCAAAGCCCCAAAAGCTCTCAACCCCAAAGCCCCAAAAGCCCTCAACCCCAAAGCCCCAAAAGCTCTCAACCCTAAAGCCCCAAAAGCTCTCAACCCTAAAGCCCCAAAAGCTCCAAAGCCCCAAAAGCTCCTCATCCGAGTCGTCATCGCTGTCGTCATCGCCATCCGCGATTTCGGGCTCGTCTTTCTCCTCGAGCTCCTTCTCTTCCTCTAGACCCAAGAGTAACCTAGTAATAAAAAGGGTGCCCTTTTTGGTTTAAAGGGGCTTAATACCCTAAAAAAGGGAATAAGGGCCTACTCCGGGTCCTAGTCCTGCCAGCTTCCTACTTGTCGGGGTTCTCCCACTTGAGGGGCCCTATTTGAGTAGAACAGGGCTCCTTGAAGGGGTCGTGGGATATTTAGGGGTTTAGGGGTATCATGGAGAACTCAAGGTTAACCTTTTTGGTTCTATAGGGATTATATAGGTACGGCCCCCATACAGTAGGAGTCTACAATGGGGCGGCTTTCAGGGTCCTACTGTAGCTATAGTATGAATTATGAATAGTACTCAACTACCACTGAGTGGGGGCCGTACCCAAGGCATCATGGAGAACTAAAGGTTAACCTTTTTGGTTCTGTAGGGATTATATAGGCACTAACCCAAAAAAGGTTAAAGGTTACCTACTCAACTACCCGACTACGAAGGATTTACTTGTTGTCAGGGGCCCGTTTTCCAACCGCCAGACAGGGGGTTTGGGTTTTAGGCTGTAGGGTGACGGGTTTAGGGTTCAGGGTTTGGGGTTTAGGGCTTAGGGTTGAGAGTTTAGGGTTTGTGTGGGGGTCCGCTTCTCGGTTTGGGCATGTCATTCTTGCGCAGGGGCCATACGAGTATTCTCTGGACCGTTTCCGTTTTCCCGGCTTTAGAGTTTAAGCTTCAGGGCTCGACATGTAGGGGACTAGGGTCAAGTAGGGCTCTTGGCAATTAGGGTTTTGGGTGAAAGCCCTCATGTCGTGCTTGCTGTCCGATTAGGAGGATTTCGGGATTGCTGCTAACCCAAAGACTCTAATATCCCTTAATTAGGGAATATACCTTAAATTCATATTAAGGATCCTACTATAATTTAAGGTATATTCCCTAATTAAGGGATATTGGAGTCTCAGGGAACTAACTTTGCTAGCTGGCTGACTGGCTGGTTCGTTCATTGCGAGGCCGTTCCAGGTGCACCCGCACCCTGCGGTTCTACATTCTGAACCCGGAACCCCACACGCTCGGGCCCTGTGCACGGTGCAGTCCTTCTTTGCCTTTCCCTTTGGCGGCATGGCTTAGCTGTAAGCTGTTTAGATAACTTGTGCTCAACCTACGGTTTAGGAGACGAATCTCCTCTTGAGCCTCAGGGGACGAAAAGGTCGTAAATCTCAAGAACCATCCGGATCGATCCCAAGCCCCTAACTCAACCCTTAAGCCTTAACCCTAAACCCTAAAACCCCTAAACCCTCAACCCTTAACCCTAAAACCACTAAAAAGATCCTGAAGCTGGATCCTTATAAACTCCTCGGATCGACAGACTCCAACCCGTAAATCCTCAAGACATATAGAAGCCTGCAGAGTTGGACTGCGGCTTTCGGGTGTTTTAAGGAATAGGGTCACTGATTATTCACTCTCTCCAGAGCACATGGTCTGTCATGTCGGGAACCACACTGACCGTGAACCCCAGGTCCTGAATCCTGGGTGCCAAGCCCCAGCACCCTAAACCCGCAAATCCTCGACCCAACGCTTCCAGAAGACCCTACATGCTGAACCTTAAACGCCGTATGCTGGAACCCCGATTCCTAAACCCTGGACCCTGTGTTCCCTGATAGTATAGTGGCCGTAATGGTTAGAACAGGGCCCTGGGGTATGCGAGGAAATACCCACATCCCACCATTCCATGAAACATCCGGCAAAAACCGGACGGTGTTCGGGCTTGCTGGGTTTAAGGTTCGCGGTTTGGGTCAAAAGCTTCCACCAGCAATGGCGATGATTAATGGCATCCCAATTCTTTAGGACAAGACATTTGTGAAACACGGGTAGGGCTACGTGTGATGACTGTCAAGATCTTCCTCTGACTTCTCACTTGCTGCACTTGCTATCGCAAACAGAAGAACTGAACTTGAGGGTTGAAGGTTTAGGGTTAGAGTCAAGGGCCCTACGTTAGACCCCAAACCCGAAACACTAGACCCTACACCCTGAACCCCAGACCCTATAGACCCTAAACCCGCAGAGACATCGTCACCAACGGACCTTTAACCAGCTCTCTGCTCTTCTCGGAGCACGCGTGTCGCGATCTCCAGGAAGTTGTGTGCCTCCCATGGAAGGGCTTAAGGTTTAGGGTGAAATGGTCATGGTGGGAGTATTAGATTATACTAAAGCAGTATGAGCTTTTCAGCCTTCGAGCCCCTTGGTTAAACGGTGACAAAACTGGTCTGTCGAAAACGAAACTAACAGAAGCTTCGGAGGGGTATGAGCTCGACACATCAAGACGGCAAACATTCTGATTTCAAGCGACGACATCTTTCAAAGCATCGGATGGACAGGACAGCACAGAAACTGCCCGTCGCGACCCTGCAATCCGAAATCGCGGGAGGAGCCCGCCTCCAGGCCCCAACGGCCCATAGCCATGCCAACACGGTCCTTCTCGCGAGCGATGCGATACCACGAGGTGGCCTCCCATACCGGCGGAATTGGCTTGGGTGTCGTCGCAAGATTTTGTATTACTACGCTACACTCTGCTGTATTATGCCATACTATACTATCGTGTACTTTACTACAGTGCAGTATAATAGTCTGCGTGCATGGATTTAAGGCGGTTTGGGGTTTACCAGTCGGATCTTACTGCGCGTTTTGCTGCTGCTGCAGGGTTTAGGGTTTAGGGTTTAGGGGTTCAGACGATTTGATGGGAAATGCAGGCCGCAACGATGCAACACGCCTACGTCAAACGCGAAAGCTGTCAAGCCACAGGGAACCCTGAACCCTAAACCCTAAACTCCTAAACCTTAACCTCCTAAACCCTAAACCCCTGAACCGTCACATTCCGAAAGGCTCAAGCGATGAAGATGTTCGCGGCCACAGCCTGAATCTGAATTCTCGTGCCGACATTGTACTTACAATCGGCACAACTTATTTGGCGTGTAACTTTCCTCCGTTGCTCTGCAAGGTTTAGTCCTCTGTCAAGTTCAATAAGTTCAAGGCGATTAAGGCCCGAAGCCCTCAAATCCCAAACCGATGAACCTTAAGTCCATGCAGGGTGTCTCTTGGCCATGGGGTTTATGTTGACTGCGTTGGACTTGTGCTTGCCATATCATAAGGCTCAGTTCTCCTACTGCTGCCCTGACGACGGCGGAAACGACGAAACCTTAAACCCGTAAACCCAACACCCTGAAACCCGAAACTCCGAAACCCTTTTTCCTAAAACCCTGAAAAACCCTAAACCCTGATACCCCGAACCCTGAAACCCTGATACCTAGACCCAAAAACACAACAAACACTCCTCAAATCCTCAAACTACGGACTGGCACAGCTTCTTTCTCCGGGTCCAGAGCTTCAAGTCTGCACTTCTGTGTATATACAATACATATGTATATATATATATATATATATATATATATAGATATAGATATAGAGATATAGTATAGAGGGTTTAATTAGGGTTAGAATTTCGGGCTTTTTTTGAATTTAAAGATATTGAGCTTCAGTGTAGTTTTCATTCCTCCGGAAGCTGCTCAACTCTTCAAGGCAGGTTTCCACAACCCTGGAGCCTAAACCGTGCATGACAGTGGCCGCCTCCGCAAGTCCTTGTCGCGACATCGTTCCTTGCTGCGGAATGTAGCCATGTAGCACGCAAGGATGCATCATGCAGGCCCCCCTGAGGGTCATGTGTGAGACTAGTGTAGGCTTCAAGCGATATGCCTGCATCCCCAGCTGAACCCACAGACCCTGAGCCGTGAACCCCCGAAACCTTGCAACATGACAACAACATCAAGCAACCCTAAACCCTAAACCCCAAACCCTAAACCCTGCCCAAAGGCTGACACCGTAAAACCCCGAAGACCTCCCTGCCTACGAGGAGTTTAGGGTACCCTTCCCGCGGCCCTCAACCCCAAACTCTCTACGGTTAAGGTGCGCAAGGATAAGGCTGAGGCTACCCTAAACCCTGAACCCTAAACCCTAAGCTGCAAAGCCTAAGCCCTAAAGACTCGCTTCCCCATCCCCACAATCTACCCTAAACCATAGACTCGCTTCCCCATCCCCACAATCTACCATGGACCCTAAACCCTACTCTGTAAACCCTAAGCCTAAGCCCTAAACCCTGGTTCCCCACCCCCCGCAATCCCCCCCACAACCATGGACCCTAAACCCTAACCAGAAGCCCTAAGCCCGAAACACTAGTTTCCCCACCCCCCAAATCCCCTAAACCATGCCAAGTGTCCCTGACAAAGGCCGAACTCCGCTATCAGGCCCAGTTCCAGGGCAGCCAGGGGTTCTCCGAGCCTTTGTGGTGGAATATAGGGGCCGGAATAATTACAATAGGGTTTTGGGGCATATTATACCACGACGATAATACGAAGCCCTAAGGATAGTATTATCGACTGTTGAGGCTTCTATACTAATGCTCTTTCATGCGGGTTAGGGGGTTTCGTGTGTGGTTCGACCCTTTCAGGCGACTTGTATGGTGGGTGTGGGTGGGTGTGAGTGGGTGTGACACGGTTTCCTATTGTCAAACTTGAATCAGGATTTGCAGGCGTTATGGCCTTTTCTGTGGTCATGGGGGCTGTCTATGTTTAGGTATCGGATGTACTGGGCCTCTCCTGCAGAATATATGCCTTACGGTTCGAACGGCAGAGTTTCCGGAGTGCGCGGTAAGGGTCTGGTTGAAGGTCAAGTCTTGAGGGCTTAGCTTCCCCTTATGGCCCTATATACTTCTTACTTGCTAATCACAGTATTACAATCCAGCCAAGTCCTGCTCTAACTATTGAGGGCCCCGCAATGTTATGGGGCGTTGAGCTTGGGATTTGAGGTTTGCAGCTCGAGGAATGAAACTTGCTTAGGGCTTCAGGTTCAAGGCCTGTTGCAGAGGCTTTTGGGGTATGGGGCTTGCATGTATGGGGGGCTGTTTTAAGGCTCATGGTTTATGTTCAGCTAAGGCAGCAAATGGTGTTCATTCAGACTTACTCTTTATGACGCGCTCATGCACAACTGTCTCTTCGCACCCATATTACATCAACATGAATGCTTGCAGGGTTCGCTTAGCGTCGAAATGCCACTCCCGTACTTAGAAGCTTGCAACTCACCGCATGCGATTCTGGGCTCTCTGCGCAAACTCGACTCTAGCCTGAGAGCATGCCCACCATTCCCCAACCATGTCGAATACTTTCGCGCTTCGTTACTTACTGCGGGCTGGACACAGCCCCGCCGGCTTTTATCTCTGAAGCCCCAAACTTCAGCCCCAAACGTTCTAAAGACTCGCGCTTCGAGTGCTCGAACCTTACAACCTCCGACTCAAATCACAAATCCCGGCTCCACCAATCAGAACCCCACACCACAGACCTGTCGAGAACTTGTAAGTTATAAGCAGAACGACAAGTCCAAACCCCTAAACCTAATTCACAAAGACCCTACCTTTACCCTGAATAACCTGCCGTTTAGGGTTCCCTATTATGATTCCTTTATATAAGTCCAAAATAAAAATGTAGGTTCTCCATGGTTAAGGTAGGCTGTAAGCCCTTCTGCCAAGAACCATAAACCCTAAACAGGTGAAGCCTACCCTAGAATCTTCGATGAAACTTCTCGTAACTCTCATCAACGCCTATGAAATCTTACAGCCCTAAACCCTAAAACCCCCAAACCCTGAACCCTAAACCCTATTTAAAAGTCGAGCATCAGCGCCAAGGGCCGAAGCCAGCTTTGTGCCTAGTAGGAGGCTGCAGATCAAGAAAAAACCAGGGGCGTCGCAAGCTACCGTGTTGTTTTGGACTTTGGGTTTAGGCTTTATGCTTTAGGGGCTACGGTTTAGGGTTTAGTGGGCTTCAGGGAGTTGAGGGGAAGGTACCCAAAGGCTTTGCAGAATGCGGTTATGTGCTGAATGATGGTCTGGTATTTGACATGCTAGGAACTGGCGGGAATTCGATTTCTAGGCCCCAACGCACCCTTGATTCTGCTCTTGAATACCTAGAGTCTCCATTGCAGCTCCTTTATGGGGTAACCTTATAGGATCCTACATATATACTTGGTTTAACCATGCTTAACCAAAAGAAGGAACTACAATCCCTAAACCCTAAACCCTAAACCCCTAAACCCTAAACCCTAAACCCCTAAACCCTAAAGGTAACCCGGAAATGGAGATCCTAAGCTCCACAAACCTTAGCCTTGACACCCCAGGCTTCTCAAAAGCCTCAATCCTAATGTAGGAACCTGATTAAGAAACCTTGGGCCTCTATTAGGGTTCCTTCTATGAATCCTACTATTTTGGGGTTATAGGCCCAGGGTGCGCGTTTCGTAATCGGGTTCCTACATTAGTTCTTACGGCACTTACAGGCTTTAGGCTTGCAAGCGTTTAGGGCTTCATGGCGTGTTCGTGCGGATACATTTGGATGCCTTTTGCCTAGATCCACAAAGCCCTTCTAAACAGAAACCCTAAACCCTAAACCCTAAAACAGAAACTCCGATTCCGGAACCCTCTGGGCCTGGCAGGCGTGCTCCTGGTCGAAGGCGGCTCCCGAACCGGGACGCCTGAAGAGGGGAGGGTGGACATTTGTCAAAGCGCTTCCGTTTTGTCTGTGAAAGGATTATTTGGGGATTGTCTTGGGGCTACTATTGGGATCCATTCCCCCATTCCCTACTAAGCACCAGACAGTTGTGTGCGTGTGTTTTTGACAGTTTGTACGCAGTGACTGCTGTAAGGGCAACCCCACACCTCACTGGTTAGAGGGGCAAGTCCTTTTCTGGTAGGACGGGCGGGGCCTACAGGGCTAAAAGTTCAAGGTGCTACCGACGACCGTAAGCAGCAGAGCACGGCTAGGAATCAGAATGCCGCAATACGCAGAGAACCCAATACCCGTTAATTAAGGAAGATATCTTAAATGATAGAGGTCTGAATATTACGATTTAAGGTATATTCCTTAATTAAGAGGTATTGAGGGGTATTGGGATCTCTAGGTACCATCCTCAACTAAAAAATTGAACAGTTCGCCAACCCCGTCGAAACCACTCAGCGAAGCCTGTGGTACCACACCAGCTCGTGCAGCATACCACCCTGCATTTCGTTGACAGCCACGCCCGTGGTGCGGTTTCCTTGGACAGGCTTTGGGAAAAAGGGGCATGATAATATAGGGGCCTTCATTATTAGAATAGGGTTTGGGGGTATATTATACTCTAATTAGAAGAAGGAACCCTCACAATAGTATAGGTAAGCATTAAGGCCTCTATCCCAAAGGCTCCATGTACCCATATAGCAGATACTTAGACCTTAGAGTACCTATATAGGGACTCCTTGACGGCTTCAGTATCTACTATAAAGGTACATGGAGCCTTGAGGTATATTGCTTATTGTTTGCGGGTTCATGGCTGAGGGACTTGGGAAGACTTGGTTTGGTCATCGTCACCGCCATGTGGGTGATTGTCAAAATTAGGATCCCTTTTTGGGTACCCTCAATAGGCCTGCTTCGTTCAGTCATCTGTCATATTCAAGAACGGGAAAACCGAGAGCGCCGCAGCAGCATGCACTCCTGCTTTCTGCTGCTGGCGAGGTTCTCTTGTCTAGTATGTACCCAACCTCCTTCATGTACTTCCGAGGAAGGTCGTCCGAGAGCCTTGGATCAAGGGTACGGAGTATGTTTTTGCGTCCTTAAGGGAGGGTGGTTCAAGGGGGGAGGGTGCAAAGGATCCTTAGGGAACCTTAAGGGAACCTTAGGGAGCACTAGAGATTAGTGGGTTATCTACCCCCCCTTGGAACTATAAGTACATTCGCAACGACGGAGCCCTGAAGGTGAACAGATAAACGACACCATGATCAAGGATATGTCTTGCAGCTCCCAGATAGTTACCCTGACGATTGTGAGGACAGGATGCTACAATGGGGAAACCAGGTAGCCAAGCAAAGAACTACACAACACTCCCTTGACCTAACCCTAAACCCTAAACCTTCCACCCTACACCCTAAACCCTTAAACCCTAAACCCTCAAACCCTAAACCTTCAACCCAAAACACCCTAAAACCTTAAACCCTAGACCAGGGCTTGCAGGGCAGTCGGAACCTCCTCGCGAGGATGCCTAAAGCGGGGCATCCGATGATGGACAAAGCGCCTTCCTTCTGCCTTCCAGAACCCGAAAGCCACGCCATGCTCGTAACTCCTAAGTTTTGAGCCACTAGAACCCCAAGACTTATAAAAAGCCTAAACCCTAAACCTTCAAATCCAAAATCCTAAAACCCTAGTCCCTAATCCCAAAAACCATATGTACATATAATAAACCGTAAACCGGGGCATCAAAGACGAAAGCCGACTGTAAACATGCCCTAACTTTGTGGCCTCAGCCCAGGCGCCGGTGATACTCCCTCTGCGCCTGGAAGGTGGATGGCTCTCCTCAAGATGGGCGGGCTCTTCTTACCTTTGGTTAGTAGGGAATGGAGGAATGGTAGTAATAGTAGTTCTGATTGTATCCCATTCCTCCATTCCCTACTAACCAAAGGCAAGTCTTCCACTCTGTAGATCTAATTTGAGGGCCCAGGACACCGCTCGAACACTAACACTATACTGTCTGGTTCTTAGTAGGGAAGGGAGATGGGTGATGGGGACTATTATTGGGGATTATATAGGGGCTACCGTAGGGATCCATTCTCCAATTCCCTACTAACCACCAGACAGACTACTTGAAGGCTCATGGGACTTAGTAAGTAAGGTTATAAGTAGTTTATAATTAGGATAACCCCACTTAGGGGACTTATAACCCCAATTATAACCTACTTACTAAGTCCCATGATCCTCTAAGTAGCACAGAAAGGTCCAAGCGTCGGCAGCAAGGCTCCCTCTGTAGGTCCTGTTGTTTGCAGGGTGACGGGCTTGGGTTTAGAATTTAGGGCAAAGGGTCTAGGATGTAGGGCTTCCAGGGTTTTGCAGGTTTCTTTATGGTTTTTGAGCCGGTTGAGGGGTTTATTTAGGGCATACGGTCTAGGACGTAGGGCTTCTAGGGTTTTGCAGGTTTCTTCATGGCTTATGAGCCGCTTGAGGGGTTTATTTAGGGCATAGGGTCTACTTCTAGGGTTCTTTATGGCTTATGGGGGCTCAGGTTCGAGAGGTTTAGGACTTTAGGCCCATCGAAGGCTGAGGCCATCGAATCCTTAAGCGAACAATGCTCACAAGAAGCCTTTTCAGGGTTTAGGGCTTATAGTGTTTATGGTGTACTTCGTTGCGCCTTGTAGATCGGCATGGCCAGTTCCACCTGTCCAACTGTCGGAAGATTCTGGGTTTTAGGGCTACTTCTCGTCTCGAGGCCGCCTTATAATATGGGTGGTTGTCAAAACTAGTGTCCCGTTTTGGGTCCTTATTATAATACGGCACCTCTTTATTTAGGGTGCCTACAAAAGCCCCTGAACCTCAAACACAAAACTCTACAATCGGGGCCTAAATAATTACCAATACTATTTTGGTGCTCCTTCTCTTAAATGTAGTACAATACAGACCCAAATCCTGTTCTAATCAGTAAGGCCCCCAAAAGAAACCACCATAATCTTTGCAGACCCCTCTAAAAGCAACCCTCTAACTATCAGAATTACTTATGCTCTACATTAACCACTTCAGCTCGTGCGCGTAAAGCCAAGGATCGAACGAAGAACCGAAGATGATCGGCAAAACGATATCAACAAGCCCTGCAAACAGGCCTACCCTCAGAGCCTACATCCTAAACACACCCAAAGCCGCAATTATTCTCGAATTTTGTGTGCAAGTTTCCTCAGATTGTATCTAAAAACCCTTTATTCTAAATAATATAGCCCGAAACACTACCCCCGACCATCGACCATCGGTATAAGACGCTAGAGCACCCTAAACCGTAAACTGTAAGCCCTAAATCCAAAAGCGCATCGGAAAGAAGCCTTGCCAGCAGCTTGCATGAGCCGAGCTCGCATGTACTGCCTCAGCACATGCCGGTACAGGTGTTCGGGGGTTTAGGGTTCAGATAATGGGTATATGGGTACCATACTGGGTCTTCGGGTTTAGGGCTTTGGGGCCTAGAGTTCAGGGCGTAGGGCTCGGGGTTCTCTAGTCTAGGGTTTTGGGTTTAAGGGTTCTGCGGTTTCGGGTTCAGCATTTGGGAGGGTTCAGGGTTTAGGGTGCAGGCAAATTTGGGCAACACAACGCCCTAGATTTTTGATCTGGGACCCAGAACCCTTAACTCTCCACGCGATTCCAATCCCGAAGTGACCTTATCTCAACAGCCTTGGCTCGTATACTCTGACACAACAGCCTAAAACTATGGTGTGCGCCACAATGCCAATCAGGGCACACATGCGGCAAGTCAGACCATCCGTCCTGCAGCGTCTTCTCATACATGGCCTGCAGCATCCATTGAGAATTACACCCGAAACCCGAAGCCCTGGTGCAAGTTTGTTCTAAACGAAACATGAAAGCCTGATTCACGGCTGCGGCGAGAACTTCGGGTTAGACACAAAAACAGACCCTGGGTGTGGAGCTTCGGTTGGGGTTCTGCAACACCATCGAGCCCAATTAAATCAGCACATCCTTCACAGAAAACCGAAACCCTACGTAAAGCCTGGCAATCTCGTTACCTGCTCCGCCTGAGACGCCAAGAGCCTATGCTCGTTGAATCCTTCCCTACTCCAAGTCTCCCAGGCTAAGCATTGAACGTCGGGATCAGTTAACCCGAAGAGGGCACTCGTGAAGATTTTCGAACATCCTTTTTACCGACGGGTCCCGCAAATCAAGACCATACAGCTTCGGGCCCGTGAATGGTTCGTCGTCTTCGAGAGCCCAAAACAGGTACTTGTGCCTGGTAATTACCTTATCTACTGGAGGATGAGTGAACTAGCTCCCCAAGATCTCATCATGATGGAACTAACTGCTCTGGCACAGTCGCCGGAAACACGTGAAACTAAGAAAAACGCAAACCCAGAAACCCCAAACAATACCTGTAACATTGCCCACAACCCTCCCATCGGCCGATACGCGACACACAATAATCACAAAGAGACTGGTATTGGCCAACAAAACAGAAAAAGAGTTCGCCCTAATGTGCCAAACTCCAGACCTCACGACCCCCGTAAAGCCTCGCAGCTTGAACACCTAAACCGCCTACTGAACTACTCAACCCCCCCAGCCCCAATAGGTAAACCGAAACAAAAAAAGCACACTATGCTAAACTCTAAATTAAGTTGTCGACCCGCCCCCCCCCCATGAGCGGGGATACCTGGAAATAGCGCTCGGCGGCCACAGCGCGCCTCCTAAGAGCCGCGTCGGAGTGATGCTCCTGGTCTGAGAGGACAACATCTTTCCGGTTTAGGCTTTTGGGGGTTTAGGGTTTACGGGTTTAGTGCTTAGTTGTTTAGGGTTTATGTAGTTGTTTAGGGTTTATGGGTTCAGGGTTGTGGGTCTGGGGACCGTGGGGCTCTGAGAATTTAGGAGTTCTTGGCTACTCGGACTGTTTGCTAACTTGAACTTCGAGGGACGGTATGGTTTGTAGAGGGCTCGGCATGAAGATGCTGCAAATGTGCACAGTTTGTTGCTTTCAAGTTGACAGCTGCTCATGCGTCAACGAACGATTTGGGTGTATGGGCATTGGGCCGGTGTGAAAATCCTGCAGTTGTGGCATTGTTATCCTCCAACTCAACCTGTTCAGATTCTCTTGATGCCGTCGGCAGCACGGCATGAACGTAGAACCCGAACCCGGGCTCCGACATGTTCGGCAGCGACTGCGATATGGGGGGGTGGGGGGGGAGTCAGCTTTGGGGCAAACCATCTGCGAGTATTTGAAGGTGCTATGCCTGACAATTGAGTGTATCGAGCGGAGTACATCGGAACGTGCCCGGGCACGTCAATCCAAGACTTAACCCCGGAACCCGAGCAAGCAGGCAACCCCCAAGATTCTACTACTCAAGCCATCCCAAGGCCTGAAAATGTATGTAGACGAAGCAACAGTCCCAAGAAGTGCAACACTCTTAAACAACACATTTGATAATGCATTTTGTCGCCATCGTAGTACCTGGGTCTGTTTTGACCAATTTATATCCAGGAAATAAACATTTTCTCTCCATTGTAGTTCGTTTGTCTGGTTTAACCAAGTGTATATTCAGGATCCTCTATGGAAGAACAAAAAGGTAAAGGCACTACAATGGAGACTGTGGGCAAATCCAGTTCTCAAGTCAGAAAATTAAAACCAAACCTAAACCGGAAGCCTTCAAACTCCAAATAAGGCATCCCGGACTGCGTCTTCTCCGCTCCTGCCGACCGGCGTCCACCCCGATGGCTGCCAAGGAGAACCTTAGAACAAATGGAGGTCTCTTAGACCTTAAAGCTCTTTCTAGGTAGGGTTCCGCACATGAGGGATACTTCTAACTCGAACCCTTTCTACATTCCTGATTCTTGGACCTCAAACCCACAGGCTTAGGAGTTCAGCCCTAACCCCTAGAAGTCTGAACCCCAAAACGTAACATCCCAGCCACAAAACCTCCAGATCCTACACCCCCGACCAAAGCATAGAAAGCTGTGCAGGAGGCACGTGGGAAATTAGGATTCCAGTTCAAGGTGCCGGTAGGAGTCAACCCCCAAACTCACTTACGTGACCCGCCCCCACACCGATTACAATCAAACTTTGCTCAATGGAGTGCATACTGTTGTAGAACGGCATGAGCATCTTCTCTGTATGTATATACATATCTATATGTGCATGCATATGTATATGCGTGGTCGCTGCGTGGTAGAGCAGAAAAGAGAGAATTACTACGATCCACAATTCGATCAACAATGCCGCGAGAACAGGTCAATACGTGCTCAGAAACTTCAACCTCGGTCGTTCTTGATCAATCCGCAGCAACATCCACCCATGGGTGTTCTGCAGGTATGAACACATCAGCAACGGGCTTTCAGACATCCAAAGGTCCTTATCACAGGGATCTTCTGATTCTCGGGATCTATACACGGGCCCCTCTCCAGCTCACATGCACGCATGGGCTGCAAGGCTACTACCCCAAACCCCAAACCCCAGGCCGACTACCCCGTACTAGGCTCACGGCTGCGTCGCTCGCGGCACCCGGCTGTACAGCATGATGATTTCTCGCCTGAGTCGGGCAGCATCCCCCATTTTAGCGGTCAGGGCCAGAAGGGAGTTTCCGAAAATAGGGGAGCCTAGTAGAATACCTACATAATTAGTAGGATCCTTGTTACAAGGACCTCAGAATACGGCACCCCTAATTTGCGGAAACTCCCATAACTGTCTCGCAGCAGATTGAAGGCGGAGGGGCTGAGTATCCTAACTTAAAGAAAGTTGTATTTTTAAGTAGATAGTAGGGCAGGGCAGTAGGGTTATACAGGCCACAAAAGGTTGCAGGGTTACCTAGTCAGCCCCTGAGACGGTATTGGCAACGGGCATGACAACTGCAAACACGCAACAATACCACCACGGCCGCCGCCACCAGCACCAAACAGCGCAACAACAAGAAGGCTGACAAGAATTCAACATAAGTCAGACTTTAATCCTAAACATCCTACCTTCTTAGGGCTCCTTATTATGATCTCCTTATATGAGTCCTTAAAAAAATAGGATATTCAGGGTTGAGGGAATACCCAGAACAAGATGAGGAAGAGTGGCGTGGTGTAGAGCAGCGGTGAATCAACACCAACCACCCGCCACAGCAGCAACAGCAAACAACGACGACAGAGAACGCAACAGCGGCTCAGCAAACTGCAGGAGTAGCAACTTGTGGCATGCTACACCGGTAAGAACCTTGCTGACGAACCTGGTGTCATGTTTTCAATCCCTGTAGAGGGACCTGGAACCCTGCATTACCGAACTCCCCCCAAATCCCCTGATGCTTAACCTAAGTTAACCACTGAATGGCGATAGGATCAGTTTCAATCCTGTGCAGTACAATTGGCACCGAGACTCATCAGTGGGTCGCCTTCGCGCCTTGGATTGGCATTCATCTACGACTTTGTGACCCTGCTTTGTTCGGTGCACTAGATACAGTATATACATACATACATACATAGATACATACATAAATACATACATACATATATACATACATACATACATACACACACACATATATATATATATAAGTACTTATCTGTGCATTTGTGTGTGTGTGTGTGTGTCTTTGTTTCGGGTTTAGAGCATCTTCGGCTTCAACACGTGCAGATAGCCGGGCTCTGGAACTGAACTTTGTTTAGTTTTTAAGTTTAGCGTTTAGGGGTTTTACGGGTTTGGGATAAAGCTTTTTAGGGGCTTTGGCTTTAGGGTTTTGGGTTGTTTAGGGTTCAGGGCTTGTTTGTCAGCATCAGGCCCGACGCTTGTGGCCTTCATTTGGAGCTCAGGGCTCAAGGGTTTCAGGATCTACAAATCTACGATGTCAGGGTTTTGATGGTTCATTTTCGACATGTACTAGTAGGAACCCTGGAAACTGCTGTTGTCAACTGTTCAAGCCTGCGTATTAGCTGTCAAGACTATTGCTGCAATTTGAGGTTTAGTTTGTGGCGTTGAGATTGTCTAGTCTCGTCGTCACCCGGTCCCAAAATCCCAAACCCAAGGCGACTATCACCGGGCTACGGCACCCGAAGCCGGTGGAGGGATGCACTGCAAGCAAGGCTCGCACACAGGGTGTTCCAAGCGTGGCTCGTGGCAACGTAGAGGTTCGTCAGCCAAGGGCCTGGTCCGAGCCGGGAATCGGGAATGTGCCAGGTCCCCCTGCAAGAGCCCTTTAATCGAGCCCTTATGGTCCTGAATAGGTGGGTGTTCTAGGGTGTAGTAGAGGGTAGTCGCTGGGTCTAGGTAGGGCTTAGGGCCTTCAGCATCGGGTTGAGGGTGAGGTCGGCTTCATGACCCTATGCTGATGAAAAGCACATGATTGTATAGGTCACTGCCACGTCACTTGGAGTCAATGGGGTCCGACAAGCAAGAAACGTTTTGATGGTTGCATGTACTGTTTATAGCGTTTCGGGATGCGGGCTTACGGTCTCTTGTTCCGTCACCCTAAATCCCATCTGTTCCAGGCCCCATGATGCTCAACTCTCAACGCTGAGCACGAGTATGCGCACTTGCCACGGCGTTATGTCTCGAAATGTGAACCCTCAATCGTCCGCACAGTTGTTGAAAATAATGGTAACCGTAGAGCATAGCATAGCAGCTCGGAAGGGCTGACACCAGCGCTGTAAGCACACACCCTGAGCCCTGCATGCCGGACCTTTCAGAGGTACCAGCATCTCGGGCGCGAGAATGAAGCACTCCTCGACGAACGAGGTTGGAGTTCAGGCCCGGGGACGATTTAGGGTTTGGGGTTTAGGGACTGTTTCGGGGCCAAGGATGGGAAGGAGGTTCTGGTTTTGGGGGATGAGGTTTGCATGATGCAGGGATGCTTCAGGGTTGAGGGCAATGAGGTTAGATTGATGCATGCATGATGCCGCGTTCTTATTTCTCAACTGCAGACTACGACAACTGGAAAGGCTCCAACCTGACCGTGTGTTCATAGAATGGGCGCAGAAGCGGCTGTAATTAAAAACAACGACGGGAAATAAACGCAACGAAATCGTCATGGACATGCACCAGAGCCTAGACGGAAACTGACATGCACAACCGTGTATTGAATGCACATGTGTGTGTGTATGTCGGTGTCGTTATGTCCGTATGCATGTATTAAAGCCTGCATGTATGCATGTACGCATGTATGCACGTATGTGTGTGTCTGGTTGTGCATGTGTGTATCTGTGTATTAACTTATTATGTATGTATGTTTGTATGTATGTATGCCTGTATCGATGTACGTACGCATGTCTGTAACCAGTCTATGTAGCCGACCTTTCTACGGCACATCGGCACAGGACCTTATGCACCCAGAAAAGTACCTAAACAAGAACCATAAGGTTGGGATATCCCATAATACATTTAATTAAGACAACAAGATAGGGATATCCCACCCGAAAGTTGATGCTTGGGTGCCTCTTTGGCTCCTGAAACTTATGGTAGAATCATGAAGCAAATTCGAAGGAGCAGCATAGGCTGCTGACTCCATAAGCTGCACCATTGCCGCAGCATGAGAACGCAAAGAGTCTGGGTGCACGATCACCTGCCATCGGTCGGTTGGGTGTAGGGCCTAGCGATTTCGGGCAATGGTTTGAGGTTTCAGGTTTAGGTCCGGCGGACTCTCAAAACCTGGGGCTCAAAATTTCTCATAGCAGTGGCCTATGCACCTGGAAGAACACACCGCGGGCTACAAACAGAATTCGAGGAACTCCAGGCATCTAGCCTTGATGAGGCCTTGTGGTCGCAGTTTCACTAAGGTGTTGCATACCCACGCTTGAGGCTTTTTGTTTTTTTATAACCGTCCCCGGTTGAGGGTTTAGGGCTTAGGGCCTTCTATTCAGGCACCCTTACGCGTCAGCTGAAGGATCCTACTACTTAAGTCGGGAAGCCAAGCCTTAAACCTCAAACCCTAAACCCTTCTTACCCCAACCTCAAATATCCAATCTTAAGGACTCGTATAAAGAACTCATAATAGCGACCACAAGAAGGCTATTTGGGGTTCAAGCTACCTGGACCCTAAGGAACCTGCCTTTTAGGGTTCCCCTCATATGATTTCTTTATATAAGTCCTTAAAAAGGTAAGTTCTTCAGGGTTAAGGTAGACCCTAAACCTAAACTGACAAAAAACCCTAAGCCCCAGCACATCACCGACCTGAAGTCGAAACTCACGACTGTCTTACAGTGAAAACCAGAAAGTTGGAATATCATTATCGTAGCCCCTTTAAGGTAAATTATAGGGGATCCTACCATTAATCCATATTCCAACTTTCTGGCTTTTACTTTAGGTGCCTCGAAAATCACGAAGCGGATCTTCCCAGCTTTCAAAGACTCAGAAGCCTCGGCACACGCATGAACAGCGAAGGGACACCGATTAAACTCCTTGGGACCGCATTCTAGGTCTCCATATTCTCGGAAGTTTTGCGGGAAGCTCTGTGTGACGCGCTTCGGTGTCGTGGGTATCGCGGGTTCATGTCGTAGGGTGCAGGCAGAGTTCAGGCTCGAGAGCTTTCCAAGTGCAGCTGCGGCATTCTGTTCAGATATGCCTGCACCGGTTAAGGTTGTTCTGATGCTGTATCCCGGGCTCAAAATGCCTCTCCATTATGGAAGTTCGGAGCCTGCCCTGCCCACCCAACCACACTTCAAGGATCATGGGACTTAGTAACTGGGGTTATAAATAAGGTAACTATACTTATAACCACTTCTAAGCCCACTTAAGGTACTTATAACCTGACTTACGAAGTCCCATGATCCTCCAAGCAAACCCCTTGCACCTGCCCAGCTGAGGGATCCACTCCGCGCAGAACATCGAAGTCGTGACCCTCAGCATCTATCTTGAGCAAGTCGACCTCCAGCAGTGACTTGGGAGTTCCCGAAAATTGGGGACCCTAATATCGTAACTGAAGGCTCGTCAGGGTCTGTATGAAGTTGTGTGGCTCCGGCGGGTTGTGTAACGGTGTGCAGTGGCTTGCACAATGCTTCTCTTAAACCTCTACACCCAAATCCTAAACCCTGAACCGCTGAACCAGGCGTTAGATATGTGATCGGAAGAAATTCTTTACGTAGTGGTTCCTTCTCAGCTCGTCGAGGAGAAAAATCTCGAGCAACCCCGAACCTCCAGCCTAAGCCGAAGCCTTAAATCACGCTCGAAGTCTGTTCATGTCTCGGGTTTTCATGGGACTTAAGATGTTAGTGCAGAGTGTTGCGGGGGTTATGGTTTTGGTTGAGGGCTTGATGGCAAGGGCGAAGCCCTCAAAACCCAGGCGGCGTTGTACCATGAGGCCTGGCGCCTGAACTGGCAAATGACAATTCCTAGACGCCTGGATCTGAAACTCAAGGCCAACTCTTGGCCAGAGACGACACTCATCGAAACGCCCTAAGCTGTAACGTCGTTGTCAAGATACCTGCCCGCCGCATGCCCACTGGTGCCGAAAAGGATCTTTAGAATGACAGTCTGGGGGGGGGGGGTTGGGCAGTTTAGGGACTGGGTTTGTAGGGTTCGGGGCTGAAGAGCTTTGGGGGGCTTACACTATCCTCCGACACTCCTGCGGTAGCTACTTCTGTCGTTGGTGCATATGCATAAACCCGTAGACCCTCAAACCTACTTCCCTGAACATGGGAGGTCCCATGGCCTTTGCGATACCCTCTTCCACCAAGAGGTTGTCTAGCCTCACGGTCCGGACCTCAATCGACGGTTTCCTGACTTGGTTGTTGCTATTACGGGATCTATATGGGTGGTTGTCAAAAATATGGTCCCTTTAAATTGGGTACCCTAAATATGAGGTGCCGTACTATAGCAAGCACACAAAAAGGGACCCTAATATTGACAACCACGCATATATAGTAAACAAAATGGTTTCTTTATTACGGTAGCTTTAAAATTATTTCCTTATAACAAGAAGCCAGTTTCAGGCTTTTGGGTTGATTAGAGGAGTAGCGGTGGCTTCAGGATTTTTTGGTTTCGGATTTCAGGCTGCACATCTTCGGGCTTAGGGTGTTAGATTTCAGGATTTCGGGCTGAGGGGTTCCTTTTCCACGGTCTTGCGTTTGATTCTTTGCCTCTTTCACGGACATTGGGTTATCGACTCCGGGGTCTAGTTTAGAAGCTGCCCCCACCCTGTAATAGTGACCATAAGGATTATAGAGGATTATATTAGGGCCCTATTATATTCCTATTATACCACTATTACAGGGTGGGGGCAGCTTCTAAGGTCTAGTGGTCTTTAGATACATGGGAGTTTCCGAGAATGAGGGGTACCTTAGTTTGGGATCCCGATAGAGGATCCTACCATTTAGGGCGCTGTATTGGGGTCCACTTTTTTCGGAAACTCCCACATGGTGTACTGAAGTTAAAGGCGTGCAGAGTCGAGCTCCTTGAGATCACGAGCCCTAAACCCACAACCCTAAGTGGGAGTTTCCGAAAATTAGGGGTACCTTATTTGGGGTCCTTACAATAAGGATCCTACTATTTAGGTACCATATTAGGGTCCCTTATTTTCGGAAACTCCCAAATCGCTTATCCAACAGTCCGAGAGACAGTCGCAGATTCGCCGCAGTTGTCGAAGTACCAGCCCTGGCTTGCTGCGGATTCGCTTTGCCAACCCGGAAAGCCAGGACCAAGATGACACAAAGCAGGTCGGGTGTTGAAATTCGGCTAACTCCATTGGCACCCTAGAAGCCCCGTTCCCGGTAAAGTTGGATATACAGCCACTACATATTCGTAAACGGGTTATGCATCACACTTCTTGCATCTTCCCACGGGCCCCACATAGCTCGAAGATGCTCCAAGTTCGATGACGGTGCAGAGAGAGTTGCACATCCGAGAGATGTCAAAAGGCACACACAGTGAGCCTACAGTCGGTGTGTCAGGCTAGCAGTTTGGGATATAGGGTTTAAAGTTTAAAGGCCTGATAGCAGTTGGGATGTATACATGCCGAAATAATTTCTACCATGGGGCCGGGCCAGGATTGCTTCGGAAGTCACGAGTCACGAGTTGGTTGGACCCCCACGTTGCCGGAACTGTGCCAACGATTCTAGGCACATACTAAAAAGCTTACAACCTACCCTTAACGACTACCCTAAGGCCCTAAAGTAGTTCCTTTTTGGGGTGCATATTTTTTTACCCTATTACGTAATCCCAAAAGGGAACTACTTTGGGGCCTCTGGGTAGGGCAAACCCGAAACTCTACAAAAAGCTTCGCTGTCAGTCATAGCTCTTGAGCCCTCGGCGTGAAGTTTAGCCAGAAGGGTTTAGGGTTTAGGGTTCGAGACTCTGCAATCGCTCTATGCCCTGCTGCTGGGCAGGCCAAGGTGTAGAAGCTGTGTGCGAAGGTCGGCTACAATCCAGAGCCCAAGCCAATAACTACATACTGTGCCTTAACTCAACCCACCAAAACCTGAAATTTTAGTGGGATCTGATTAGAAACCCGAAAATGGAATTCATAAGGACCCTGCAAAGTAGTAGGTTCTGGTAGGTTAACGTAAACCCTAACACCGAAAAGGTGCCAGGACACCTAGAACCCACCAGTCGACTCAGACCTACAGTAAACCCCGTAAAGTTGGAAACCGGATTAAGGCCAAATAGTGCTGGGATTCCCTATGCATAACTCTTAATGATTGAGGCTATGGGGTTTCCACTTCTCCTGTAAGAGGGACTCGGAAGCTGCGAGGCCTCTTTTGGTGCTTTCTCTGCCAGAAAACCTCAGAGGCTGGGTTTAGGCTTGAGAACACCATAAACCCTGACTTTAGTGTGGCTCCATATCAAACATATCAGGATTTATAAAGTTTGTTTACAGAGTTCTATGGAGTTTTGTCAGGCTTGGTTTTTGGGCTTTACCCGGTTTAGAGAATTTTCCAGTCAGGGCAGTGAGTCAACAGTCAACAGCACCAGGGCTTATGGTCCATTGGGTTTCGGGGCTTACGCGTGTTCTCGGTCTCGGGTTTGGGGCACAGGGTCTTACAATGTAAGGTCCAGAATATGTCACCTGACGTAGAAAACTCTTCCAACCCCTCTAGAAACCCTTGTATATCTACTCAAGCTCACATCTATAAATCATAGCCGAGGCCGAAATGAAGGCTCTGGCCCGAAACCTGCGGCTCCTAAGAAGTCTCGCAATACATCAGAATCATAAGTGCAGTGCCACATCCGAAATCCATGTCGTTGATCTTGTTTTTAGTCTGATTTTTGAGGTTTTGTTTCTTGGGAGAGTAGAGTTTAGAGTCTCAGACTCTTGGTGTTTAGGGTTTGGGCCTACCTTCAGCACCTTTCCTACCCAAAACCTCGAAACTCTCCTATATAAGTGTTGAGACACTGAGAAACCTGACAGCGTCGGAGGGCGCTAAACCCAAAGCCCTAAGCCGAGTCTAGGGTTTGGATTTCGAGGCTTTGGGCTTAGGATTCCAGAAAGTTATCAGTTATCGTTTTCAAAACCGGCAGATTGGGAATCCTTGCTTGCAACAGAATGCCCATTTGTCTCTGAGCCTGCCAAGAAGCTCATTTGCTGCGGGCATTGGAGTGTTGCCTGACGACAGACTGTATTTCTGTTTCCTAGCAGTGGGCTTAAGTTTTACTGGGCTACTGTCCAGTAGGAGCTTAATCAAGAAACACTTAATTTCTAATGAAAACAGTATGACAGCTTATCAAAGTAGTCAAGTTACTTAAAGACGACTTTGATTCTCAGGCGTCCGAAACTGAAAACCCGACAGTACAAACAGACAGCCGATGCAAAATCCTCACAAGCCCAAGGGCCTTCGTCTTCGGGGCGTAACTGAAGGAATTTTGACGCCTTACAGATTTTGTAGGGTCGACCTAGGGTTTTGAGGTGTTTGGTGGATGCTATGCTTTCCTGCGTGGTTGCGGCAGCGAAAACTACATTCTTGAACTGGGATTCATCATATGGCCTAAGCAGCCTTACACAGCTCGAGTTTCAATGGAGAGCAGCTACCCTAAGGCCCTAAAGTAGTTCCTTTTTGGGGTTCATATTTAGAATCCTATTAGGTAATCCCAAAAACGAACTACTTTGGGGCCTCTGGGTAGGGCTTGGGACGCAAGGTTCAAGCCTTCCTAGTCTGGGGGCGAAGGAACCCAGGACTGGCCTGCGGTATATTATGATATATTATGTATGCTGTAGTTCATACTAAGGCCCTTGTTAAGAAGTTCATACTCAGGGCCCTTAATTTAGGAGTTCATAGTAAGGGCCCTTGTTACGAAGAGTCTTCCATTTGCTGAGGCCCCTGTCCCGAAAAACCTAAATGCGAATCCCTAAGCTGAAATCTTCAGAAGCCCTAGAGCACCCCACAAACCCCTCGCGAAGCATAAAAGCACTTTCCGCAAGCACGTCAACCACTCGAACTTTCAAAACCCTGCAACCCTGAACTCCCGAAACCCCTGTTAGCTCTAGACAGCCGAAACTCTGAACCTTGAACTCACCCTCCCAAAACCGAACAGCTAATAACAAAACCCCTAGGAACCGTAATTAACCTAAGTAGCCACTGTCGAACCCTTCGTAGCACCCTGATGAAAAACTTTTTGTAGTGTCGAACAAGGATGAAAACCCTAAACAGGCCTTAAAGCCTAAATCCCGAAAGCCTACGCAGGCCCTAAAGCCTAAATCCCGAAATCCTACATGAAAGCCCCGGCAAGGGATCCAAAGGCCTCCCCGTTGGACGACGACGCAGCGACGCACGCAGCTCGGATTCGTCCAGCGCTCCGCGGCCTATACCGATTTCTTTAGGTGGGTCGGGGTTTAGGGTTCCGGGGTTAGGGGTATGGGTTTAGTTGTTAGGGTTTATAGGGGTTAGGATTTAGGGTTTAGGGGTTGTGGTTTGGGTTTTTCAGGGTTTTGGATCCCTGCTTGTGATGTCCTGTGTTGCTGCCCTTATACAGCGCTGGCATCCTAAACCGTGGTAAAGGTAGCTGGGCCCTTTAGGGCAAGCGTGCTCCAAAAATGTTTTTCGGAGACAGCTCTTCGGCAACGCAAACGGTATCGCACACTTCTGCAGGGAACGACGACTATACTGTCAAAGATCATGCGAGAAACCCAGCTACCTGAAGGATCTTCTGTCGGCTTCTTAAAACAGCTACCCCGAACCACCGGCATTTTTTATATCACAGATACTGACGTATGCGGTCCACATGTATATACATGCGGATCCCTGAAAGCCCAGCGCGACTAGTGAACAGTGATTTTCCGAGTGGCTCATGCTTGCAGAGGTCCAAATCTGGCGGCGCCTTCTCAGAGCGGAAGAGTAAGAGAGAGCCTTTCATTCCTGTGTTCGCCCCGACTGTCCGCAGTAGTAGATCGTGCCGCACAGTGCAGGTTGCAGTGCCAAGTAAATCTGTTGTTTCTTTGCGTCTCAGGTAAGTCGAATTATGGAATGGTTCATGGATGCATGTTGAGATGCCTTTCGGCGATTCTTGCGGCCTCACAGACCCGAACTTTAAACTCCCCTCGATTGCACAGGCTAGTTTTATCGGGCTAACAGATTTATTGGAAACTTCGATCTCGCTACACTTAGATGAGAGTACGAACAGAGTAAACTCCATGTGACCGATTACTGAAAGCTTGGTACCCTAAACCCTAAACCCTAAACCCTAAACCGGTATATGACGGTGTGAAGCCACCAAGCCTTAGTAGGTCGTCATACGTCTACCCTCCTAGGGCTGGATAAAGGTCAGCTACTGAGCCACACCGGGAGTGTGCGCACTCGAAGAAAACCCTGAGTCACTCAACATCTGCTTGACTCTACCTATAGTCTCCATTGTAGTTCCTTTTTGGGGTTACACAGGATCCTAAATGTAGAATTGGTTAAACGAAACAAGGATACTACAATGGAGACCATCCGGTTGGAGCCTGCTCGCGCCCTCCACTGTTGAGCCTCGACTGCACAGTTGCAGAAGACTTTCCCTGAAACTCCCAGTGCACACAGAGTGCCTACTTAGACTTTGAAAGCCTCTAAATGGCACCTAATTTGGGCCATTTGGTGTCTTAGTGCTACTTCTGTTTTAGAGGCCTTTTTGTCGTAAGGCCCTTTTCCGTCCGGACTGCTTGGAAAGGCAAGGTCAGAGCACTGTCGGAGCAGCGATCCCTGAAGCAAAACCTGACGGCATTGCACCAGAATCGGACGCCTTAAACCCGGAACCCCTGAAGCTCAGCCGCCAAACCAACGGCTTGCAATCCGAAGCATTCGCACTCAAGCCAGCAAGAAGGATTAAAATCGCAGAAATCCTAGTACCACCCTGTATTTCGTTAACACCTATGTACCAGCCGGCACACTCACTGACGCACTCACTCACTCAACCTGGCACTCCCTCAGCCACAATGATTAAGAACATGCTCAACCTGTACTGGAATATACCACCACATCTTCGCCTCACATTTCGGAGCTTGGTTCCTGCACACCAACCCCCATGCCCCAAACCCTCAACCTATCGTAAACGCTAAGCTCTAAACAAAGGCCAGGCGCAAGCGGCACCGTTGCGGCGAGGGCTCGAGGGCTAGGACGCGAATATTTGTTGAGGGCGGCGTGCCGGGCCCTGCAATGAGCTGGCGCAATTTAATCAACAAATTGCCTTATACTGAGTATCGAGGGGATCCCAATGTCAAGGCCCCGTAAGCAGGCAGGGTTTTTTATCAGGGGCCTTGTGCGACCTTCACCCTAACCTGGAAAATCCTGAACCCCGAAGCCTGCCTCCCTAAACCCTAAACTGCTGCACAAGGGCTTCGGGTTCATGGTTTAGGAACGTTTCCTAGAGGGTCCATATCCCCAAAGCCACAATAGGGATGGCCTTTTGGGACCTAATTCCATAATGGTAGTTAAAAAAGGACCCTCTGGGTTTGGCTATCCGTCCCGTTTACCTTAGTTGACATCATCATTTGGGCGGTGAATCCGTAGCTCCATCCGCCTCCCGGCCACGCTGATGCCGTGCCGACAACGGCGTCCCAGAATGCGATGCACGCGCAGCTCACAGATCCTGTCATGAAAGGCTCAGTCACAAGTTTTGAGGCTTTGAGGTTCGGGATTTTAGGATTATAGGGTTTAGGCAAGTTCTGGGTGTTACGGGGGCAGCGGTTCTGAACGAGAATGCGAAAAAGCGCAAGCATGCCAAAAACCTCAGGCCGCTCTGGGTCGGTTTTGGGGTTTGTGGTGCAAACTTTTCGAGTTGCTGGATTGTTCATCCGCTTCCGGGCTGAGGAAATCCTGGGAATGATATCTTGATCACTCCGACCCCCTAAACCCCGAAACCCTAAATAAAAGACCCTACATAAACCCTAGAGGCCCTCGACGCAGGGTGCCAGGCTCACCAGGGTCGGCCTTGGGTCTCTTGGGCTGGCACATTTGGGACCTCATGCCTTTCCTCGAGCTCAGCACCGCTGAACGTTTAGGGTTCAGGGCTACTCGCTACTGGGAAACTCGCTTCATCAGGGAGTATACCCCGAATGGGGGAGAGTCTTAATTGTGATTTAAGGCACGTTCCTTGATTGAGGGGTTTAGGAGTCTCTGGGTTTAGGAGCCCGGAAAACTGAAAGCCATCATCCGCACTCGGTATAGTCCCAGCATGATAAGTGAGTACTGTCAGACCAGTCCGATGCTCCAAATGCTGCGTCGTCAAACTTAACCTTAAGGGGAACTCCAGAAAGTTGGAATATGGTTTCAGGGTAGGATACCTTGTAATTTACCATAGAGGGTTTAGGATAATCATATTCCAACTTTCTGGCTTTTACTTTAAACCCAAACCCTGTGAAACTACCCCTCAGCCCTGAACCTCTTCATCCGGCCCTAACCTGAAGGGAACAAGCTACCATCCCCTAAACCCTAAACCCTATCATGCTATAAGAGATGTCACATGGGCGCCTTACCTGTCAGATCCGGGTTTGGGGGTTATACGGTTGACGATATAAACCCTGCATTACCCATAATAAGGAATATACCATAATTACCATAGTTTCGGGTCCTTGAGGTCATGCAGGATTTATATCATCAACCGTATTAGTGCGAAATTTTGATTAGGAACATCCAGGACTAGTTGTGCCAGCTATTCAGCACTCTATTACGAGGCGACGGGTCATATCAGGTTGAACGGGCAGTAACCCCCGAATTCTGGGCGCCAAAGGATACCTGGCCCGGCCGCGGCTTCATGTGCTAAACTTGGAGGTGCCTTTTAAAGCCTTTGAAACATCTTAGTTGCTGAGTTCTTAAAGCCCCCCCCCCAAAGTGGACACTTTTGGTTTTAGAGTGGGTAGTATTATCCAAAAAAGTGTAACGTGCATCCACTCAGCTACTAAGAAATATTAGTAGGCAAGATCCTCTTAAGCCCAATAAGAGCGAATTTACGATGTCCCAAAGCCCTACCTAGTAAACTACCGTACAAGTACTCAGCCGGACCCCAAACTCAAGACAGTAGAGTATCACGGTTCAACATTTCTCCATAATGAGTCATTAAACGGCACGAAACCATGAGATACCATACTCCCTCTTCAACTTCACAAATACCGTTGTCATGGTTCAAGAAGCCGAAAAAATGAAAGTCAGCAAATCCTGCCCGAAATGCTGAATTGCTTAGGTTGTTCGACCGACAAACGGCAGTGCACGTACACGCACCTACCTATGTGCAGAATCTTGCCTACCGCCCTTTGCCCTTTTGGTTCCGCAAATCATCCTGTGAATTCCTGCAACGATCCTCCACATGTGGAGGAACAGCCAATTTTGACCAAGAAAGTTTCAGGACCCCTGTATCCTGAAACCCTGCATAAGCTCTAAGCCCCTGAAGCCTGAACCCAACTAGTAACCCTCCAACGAACTCTGAAACTTTGCCCCTAAAAATCAGGGTTTAGTCGGGTTTAGGGTTCAGTGCTTAAAAGAAGGCTTTACGGCCCTCCCCTGCCTGCGTAGGCTCCCACGTCCAAGACCTGCACATCAGGAGAGCCAGGTGGCATCGCGGCGGCTAAGGCCAGGAAGATGCTCGGAATGACCTGAAAGGAATCTGTGGCTGTCTCGCATGTTATGACAGACCAGGGGCAAGGGTCGGGGTTGGGGAAAAAGCTTCGCATTTGGGTTCGGAGCCTGTGAGATTTGCTTAGTGTTTCGGGTTCAAGCACATAAGCAGTGCATATACGCAGTATACCAAATCTCAGATTCGCGCTCTGGTGTTCCGGACTGCGGTTTGAGCTGCGAGTCGAAGTGTTTGTGAACTTGGGCTTTGGGTTTACGGTTTGTAGGGCTTAACGTTTATGGGGCTTAAGCTTGAGGATTACATAGGGTTGTTTGTTTAAGGTGTATTGGCTAGGTCCCCCTTGTCTTTATTACAGACATACACAGGTGAGACAAGACCTACATAGGGCTCAGGATGCAGAGTTTGCAAAGATGCATTTGGGATTCACAGTTTGGGTGCACTCTGCGAAACTCCAATAGCAAGGGACAAAGTTCTCCGCTGACCCACAACTGGCTGAAAGCATGCTGGTATCAAGGTATCCGGACGTTGAAAATTACCGTAAGCCGTAAACCC